TCCATTGGAAGGTCGTAACGTAATTATTGCTAGTTTCTGTCCTCAAGTATTTGGACTATATGTAGTTAAGCTTTGTATATGCTTAGCTCTCGTTGGAGGGGTCCAGGTCAGTTTAATATTCATACCTTAATTTTTGCTATTGGTGTATTTCTATTCTTATTTTGATTATTTTACTCATTTTGAATTTTGTATAATTAAAAAATTACTGTGATACGTAATAATACCAATACACATGTGTACCACAAAGCCTTAACTGTTGAGTGCTTATAAACTTGTTACATTTACAATGTACATGTAAGTACTGTCACTGCCTGTATTTTATTAAGTCTTTATTATAATGTAGCATTTATACTATAGCCATTGTAAATGTATAAATTCATTTATTGTAGTATGTTGATGAGTCTGGCACTCGTGTTAGAGGTGACTGTCACTTACTACTAGTGGGAGATCCAGGTATAATACCGTAGGACGATTTATATTCGCAACTGCTAATATTCGCAACAATAAAAACTAATAAAGAGTTCAATTAAATGCCATGGAAACCAATTAATAGTTGCTATGACAATTGACCACGTGTTTATACAATTACAGTGTTCAGCAGCTAATCATCTATTCTTTAGCAGCTTTAGTGGAGCCATCCAGACTCCAGTTCTCTATTCACTATCTTCTTGTATAGATGGACTACTACCTTCGAGCTCTTCGCTGCAAAATTAGTGCTGGTCGGTCGGTCATGATTATAAACCACCACACCCAAGTCAATAAACACTAACTAGAATGGGTGCAGAGTCCCAAGACACGGTACGGCGAGGGAGAGTGAGTAGAGTCTTTTCTAAAAGAACTGGCTAAAGCAGCTTCAAAGAGTCCAAGGATTAGTAACAGCAAGAAGAATAACAACTCAAGAACACTGCATCCTGGTGCTGTGCTTCAATACCGCGCCGTTTTCAATTAAAATAGCATCAAGTTGCTATGGCAATTGTTAGTGGCGGGAAGAATTCACGAATATTAGCAGTCGCGAATATAAATCGTCCTATGGTATACTGTGAATTGTATATGTATATGTCGTTTGATCATTTTTGATGTATAATGTACATCATGATGCATAGTAGTATAGTAGAGCAACTAACAAATTATTGTATGAGTGGTTTGTTTTTTATCTGTGCAATTTTTGTGAATTTCACACAATCATTTCTTAGTTTATACATGTACATGTACGTGTGCATGTAACATGTATATCGCAAAAATAAAATTTGCAAAAATAAATAAATTAATGAACACACTGCACCCCCATTTAATTAACTCTTCCCAAAGCCACACCTTAATTATCATAGCACTGCTCAAGTACATGTACATGTATTTGAAGAAATTTATTGTTATTGTCCATGCTAATGGGCCATTATCTGAATGAGTTTCTTTTTCAATAATAAGGTCAATAGTCTGATTCAAATCAAACAAAGAGCTGGAATAAGAAAACATGCTTCAGAAATGGGATGATGAAGCACTTAGAAATTTTTAAGAGCGAATTTGTTGATTGCCTTTTAGAAGAAAGCACAAAATGATATTAAATTTCTAATATTTACATGCATTGATGTCCTTATGCTGCGTAGAAAGTTTGAACTGATTGACTTAAATTTTTTGAGTTATGAGCATTTTAAAAATTAGGCCAAATTATGAAAAATACCCAAGGCTATAGCTAAAGGTTTTTTGAAAAAAATGGCCCCCAGTTTTTTTTCAATTTCTGATGCATATTGATGTCCTTATGCTGTGTAGAAAGTTTGAACTAATTCCGACTTAATTTTTTTGAGTTATGAGCATTTTAAGAAATTGACCAGATTTTGAAAAATACCCAAGGCTATAGCCCATGGTTTTTTTGCAAAAAAATGGCTCCGAAATCACTCCCAGTTTTTTTTTCAATTTCTGATACATATTGATGTCCTTATGCTGTGTAGAAAGTTTAAACTGATTCCGACTTAAATTTTTTGAGTTATGAGCATTTTAAAAAATTGACCAAATTTTGAAAAATACCCAAGGCTATAGCTAAAGGTTTTTTTGCAAAAAATGGCCTCCAGTTTTTTTATTCAATTTCTGATACATATTGATGTCCTTATGCTGTGTAGAAAGTTTGAACTGATTCCGACTTAAATTTTTTGAGTTATGAGCATTTAAAGAAATAGGTCAAATTTTGAAAGTTACAAATGGTTTTTTTGCAAAATTGGCTCTGAAATCACCCCCAATTTTTATTACATTATAAATACCTATTGATGTCCTCATGCTGTGTGTTTGAGCTGATTTTACTGTAAATTTTTGAGTTATGTGCATTTTTAAAGCCCAATTTTTAATGCCCTTGGTTTTTTTTGCAGAAATTACCTTCAAAATTGCCCCCAATTTTTGTTACATTTTCTATTGCATATTGATGTCCCTATGAAAGATTCCTGATACCATTTCTTCAACTGTTACCATCTTTTTATTTCAGTAGTCAGTCTTCCTTACACTTACTGAACTGTGTTTTGTCTTGTTTCTTTAGGCACTGGAAAATCTCAGTTTCTCAAGTTTGCTTCAAGTCTCAGTCCTCGTTCTGTA